CGGAAGGAGCCAAGGAGGGGTCGCCATGAGTCGGGTCTGACTCAAAGGCACGTAACCACAGCAATAGCTGTATTTGCAATTTTTATGTCCTGTTTTCTGTAAACAAAAATCCTAACTACTTCAGGACACAAGTTTCCTAATATGTTAAGGATTTTAATCATTTAATATTTATTCTTTTGCCCAGTTCCTATAGGGTGTACTGCAAAGCTAATGTGCCAGCAGGTACATGTTTTGCATTCCTGTACAATTTCTTTTTTCTTTCCTCTATTGTCTGATACTTGGAAGGATGATTGGGCAATCTACTTCCGTAGAGATAACTGCCTTGGAAACCCAAGGAGGGTTGCAATCAACTTGACAGCAGTGAGTCTGGTTTTGGTTTTGATAACACATGAAAGTGGGATTGCCAGGAATTACAATTAAAAAAAAAAAAAGTAAATGAATTATTTGTTTCACTATGCGGATGCAGTGAACTCACATTTCCCAAAGGAGAAAGAAGAAATTAAAAAATTAATAAGGGTCACAGTATATGTAACAAATGCTTAAGAAAGCAGGATGTTTGAACTCCAAGGTCAGATGGCATGTTCACAGAGCTCTAGATAATACACTAAAAAAGGAAAACATTGAGGGCTATATGTTAATCTGGGCCACACAGTACACATCTCAGACAAGTCTGCAGATGGAGCAAATGAAGATGTGTCTGATTGTTTGAAGTCAGAATCTGGTAATTAGTAAATCTATTTAAAATCTTTCACAAATAGATGGTTAAGTGGAAGAATGTTAGTACTTACACCTTTTAGGAAAAGTATCTAGGGGGAAAAATCAGTATTTAAATGTGTTCGTACTGGAAATATAAAAGAGACAGAGACAGAGAGAATACTTACAACATTTTTTAAGAGGGGGAGGAACAGAAAAGGAAGAACAGAAAAGACAGCCTGAAAGTTTAAAATGAAATGTTTGAACATGAAAAATATCATCAATGTCCCGAGCTGTAAATGTAGAAGTTATTTTGGTGAATGTCTTGATGTGTACGTTTTCACTATAATAAAAGTTTTTTTTTAAAAAAAGGAAATGCTTGAATTACAATTGGAGGTATTCAGAGACAGACAACAGGAAGATGCTGAATAGATAGATAATCTGTCAGGTCAATTAAGAACAGTACGCAGCAAGAGCTACTTCGATGGATGGACCGTAACTAGGCTGGAGGCAAATCCAAAAGCAGCCTCCCCCCACCCCCCAAAGAGCCAACTGAAAATGACAAATTTGGAAGAAAATAGAAGAGATGAAATATTATCACAAACTTGTATAAAAACCTGACTAATTTAACACAATTTGTCCTTACATCCAAATGCAAAGAATAAATGAACAACCTCTAAAACTGCATTAGAGAGAAGAAAAACCACAGGAGAAATGATCTAGGCGTTAACAGCTGAAAGCAAACATGGGTTATAAGATTATGTACAAAGGAAACTCAGGTTGTCATTTAATATTTATATTCCAAATACCATGGCTAAAACACTTCCCAGAAAAAATAATTCTCTAAAATTATTTTTTGGAGGTCACATTCTTAAGATTCTGTCATTAATCTATTTCATCTGACCTGCTTGGTAAGCAGTTACCTAGAAAGAAAAGCAATACAGTTCTAAGACAAGCAAGTGTAAGGAATCTGTGCTAATTTTCACAATTTAACAAAGAAAACTTTCAAGACAACTAAATAGTAAAAATAAAGAATCGCAAACCAAAGCTTTCAAGTTATATGAGTGGTATGGTGATTAGCACATTCCAAATGGTAACTTTACAAATTGCCATACAAGAGAACAATTCAACTCTATATTAAAATAGGGTCAATGATTCTTGAAATCAAACAAAATATGACATTGCTGTGTGTTTCATTCTAAACTAAAGCCCCTTGGAATATTAAAGTTACTAAGAGCTCTAGGGGACAGGGGGATGAAAAAAATAATAATATTTTACTTTCATTAAACATTTGCAACTAATACAGAGTAGCTTTGTTCTTGGAATTGGGCCAATCTACTTGGTTCCTTTCTTGATCAAAGAGGATTTAGGCTAGGAAGCAACTAGGAAACTTTCAAAATATTTGGCAATAAATTGAGTTATTTTAGTCTTGCTTGGAAAAAAATGAATGGAGGTGCAAAGGGAGAGAAAAACCAAGTTTACTGCCACCTGTTCTATTAAGATAGACATTTTCACACCTTTATTCTTACAATCTTCTTTGAAAATTTGTCAACCTATCTGTCCCTCAGGGAATAATTAAACACAACATTAAAACAAAACAAAACAAAAAAATCTCAAAGAAATCTGAAAGAAAAATTAATCTAAGATTCAGATTGTTTAGGAAAGAGGGACAGCCAGACTAAGATCTTCAAAAAGGTAAGCTTTCTGATATTTTCTAAAAGGTGAAATATTTAGAAGAAAGTGACATAAGCATTGCAGTGCAATGGGTTGCTTTTATGAAAGCCATGATCTTGTAACTTCCACCAAAAGATCACGTGGGACATTGCAAATAAGGTGCTTATGGTCCACCAAGGGGACTGGACAGCTTAGGGTTAATGCAAATAAGATACATGGTATCCCTTTGGGGATGGAACCATGCAAATAAGGTATACAGAATCCTAACGAGGGGACTGGTCAGTTTTCAGTTTTGTCATCTCTCTAGGCTTAAAGTGAGACATCCCAGAGATGGACAGTGGGGACCACTATGACCAAGAAGAGATGGGAGCAGAGTGTTGTCTTTAGGACCTGAAGTCTCTGTACTACAAATCTCCTAGACCCAGGAGACAGAGAGCTGTAACACAGGAGATGGCACAAGATGGCAAAAAGGGGTGGCAGTAGAACCTGGAGCAGGCACCAGACGGTGCAGTGGGCTTCCCAGCCCACAGAGCAAAGTGGTTACAGTGGGTATGCCAACCCATGGAGTAAGAGAGCTGAGTGCCTTTGGGAAAGAGGTTTGCTGACCCACGGAGCCAGAGAGCTGAGCTTCTTCATGCCAAGGCTTACTTGTGGAGTGGGGTGCCCCTGGGCACTTATCCACAGAGCCAAAGAGCTTTATACCACTTGCCGGAGGAGGGCAGAGGCCAGGCCAAAGGGCCAAGGGCCAAGGGCCAGAGAGAGGCCTGTCTGCTGGGAGGGCTGAGAAGAGGCTGACCTGATCAAAGAACCATATACTGAGTCCTTGACCCTGAATTGTAACCTATATAATTGTAATTCCCCTAACTGTGAGTACAGCCTGTAAGTTCTGAATGACTATTACAATGAATATTGAACCCAGCAAAGGAGTAGAGAGTAGTGTGGGAGGGATAGTTGGTATCAGAACTGGTAAAAAGGTTAGAGAGAGAGCCAAGTCTGGTCTCTGCCTCACAGGAATCGGTTTTGGGCTGATGCCGATCATGATTCTCTCCTTGCAAAGTTAGAGGTCAGATAACTCTGACATGCCTTTTTTTTTTAAATTTTTTTTAAACAAGCACGTAATCAGTTTTTTAATTAAAAGAGAGATACTCGTGAATCAAGGCAACAATAGGTGCCCCATTTCCAAATAATCAATAATCAAGCCAGACACACTTCTCATATTAATATATTTAGATAAATTTTCCACTGGAAAGAATGAGTAAGAGACATTTTTTGTTGTTGAAAATAAAGTATTTCTGTTTTCAATCTTTTTCATGTTCCCACTTTCCAGTTTTCCTCATTCCAACCCAGAAACCCCTCCACCCAGAGTTCATGCATTTACCTTCTCTATTTTAGTAAAAACGTAACACATTGATTGTAAGAATCTTACTAGCTTTCCATTTGTTTTGCCTCAGCTCTTACATTAATCCAAACAATAAGGGACCTTTAAAACATTCATAAATAACCTGCTGCTGCTGGCTCCTAGGAGCCAAGTGCAGCAGTGTTAAGCAACAACAAATTTCATAGTTCAAGAGGCACAGTTAAGAAAAAAGGTTGCTCAGGAAATCACTCTTTTTTAGCATAAAAATCCTTAAAAATTGCATGAAATCAGTCAAGTAACTATAGAAACCAATTTTCTTCAGCTCCATATCACTGTCTCACACCTCAATTGTCTTTATTATTGTCTGCTGTCAGATCCTTAATCAGAAATGTGAACAGGCTTGATGATTTATTTAGCAGGGAAAAGAATCGTAGGTCAAGTGAAAAATTTCACACACACTCACACACATGCCACATCTTCAACCTTAGGTACTTTCATTTCATTCTGTTCCCAGCAGCTCTGGGGGCAACTCCAGTGAGATCCAATATTAAGGCTCAATTAAAATAAGCTCCAATTAGTGGAGCTTTTTTCTCTGGGGCTAGAAAAGTCAGGAAATGGATATTGGGAAATGTAAAAAGTCAGCTACTGAGAGGAGGCTGCAGACATAAATGAACTTATTTGTTGATTTCTACAGTTGCTATGCAGAGGCCTCTGGGAGTAAAAGCTTAACCAGTCTAAGCTATAAACTAAAAACCCTGCAGCTAAACATGAACTGTGTGAAACAAGGGCTCCATTCCAGAACAGAAAACTGCTGGGCCCAGAAAATTAAAAGCCAGAGGCGTTTTCCATTTAAAACTAAATCCCAGTACCGCCTCCCAGCCAAAGAATTATAAGTAGTATCAGATTTACAAAACGAACAATTACCCTGGAAAAATGTAGCCTATTGTACAGTCCCAGATGCTAAATCTCTAAAGTTTCTTCTTCTCCTTTTTTTTTTTTTTAAATCCCACAATATATCCCTACCAAGAACACCACTGCAGTTTACAAAGAGCCATTTCTAGACAGGCCTAAGCCTTGAAAATAAATTTTGAAAAGAGAGCACATAACTCACTGACCTCATTTGAAGTCCTGCCCTTGCCTGTAGCAGTTCCTGTCCTTCCCCGAGGCTTCTGCAAATGGTATGCAACAGCAAAATAAACCCTGACCTAATTGCCAGGAGAGTGCTGCCAACCTTCCCTCAAACACAAAGACGAGCATGGTAACTTGAAAGTCCTACCTCTTTGGCTTTCTGCTTTAATCTCAGCTGTTCTGGATCTTCTTTATTGGAACGACTCTATCAAAGGAAAAGAAAATTTTAATAGAAATTACTAGCATCTAAACACCATAGTTGCTGTTAAATATTTAATAAATGACAATTTTCTCTTGTGATTGAAAATCTTAGCTTCAGGGAAAAATGCCTCAATCCAGTCTTGCTGAACTCCCTCCATGACTCCCCCCTCCCTCTCATCATCTGGGCCGGCTGCTGCAGTTGTAGCCTGGAGGAAGCTTACACTGAAAATGATGCTAACAATGTCAGTCAGGTCCAGTTGAGGCATGGCGTTGTTCTTGTTGGAACACTAAACACTAGAAAAAGGATGGTATGGATGAAAGAAAAGAAAAAGAGGATAACTATTGGCTCAAATGGAATGAAAACAATCAACAATGGCTGATCTGCAGATGAAACCATTTTAGAAAAACATAAGGGATTTGAAGGACTATTAAAATCAAGAACAAGTAACCTTGAACCAAATCTCTCTCTCTCTAAAAGTGTAAGTATTTTTAATATAGGTAGGGAATATATCCTAGTGCTTTCATGAGAGGAGCTTACTCATCTTTGGATCCTCTGTAGCACTTAATAAAATGCTGTGTATAAATAAATGTTGATTAAATGTCACTTTCCATACTATTCACTTTAACACTACAAACTGAACACTCTTAGAGGACTCACGTAAAAAGAGAGCTACCTTCTAAATGTGATGGAACAAAGCGTCAGAAACCACATTTCTGTCCACTGAAGTAATGTGTGGGATAGGTGTACTTTTTTCTCATCCTAAGTTATCTAACTCCTTTTAAATGCAAACTTTGTTGTATAAAACATAACATTAGTTCACTAAACCAAAGATGGCTACCAAAATAAAAGCTACAATAATTTCTGACTTACTAAGTTTACCTGTATTTTACTGATTAATCATTTCCTTTGTTAAAGGAAAGCACAAGAAACTATTTAGATAAGAATACCTTCTAATTTTAAACACCTTAATTAAACATACATAAAATCCTACTCAAAGCTAGTAATTTTCTCATTTGATCTTAATCCTCAATCTACTAAAACCCTCTATTTCAGCCCAAACTTAGATAAACTCCTCTGCTATTCCACCTATAATACTAGCAGAAAATGAGTATGTATTTATATATAAATATGTATATGTACGAGTGTATGTGTAATTTTTTTTGCACTAATATAGGCACACACATTTGGCTATCAAGCCTTTTCAGTCAACCAGTATTTATTAATCAACCACAGGACAGATTCTCTTCTGTGTGCTGCTGTTCTAAGGCCTTAGAGATACAGAGATGAGCTAACAAGACAAAGTCTGTTCTCAAGAAACTTAGATTTTAAGGAGGAAAAATTTAAACAATTTTATAAAAATTATTTACTATTTGATAATGTAAAATGTTTCTGCCAGGTAAAATTAAAAATAAGTAAGAATCGCTGATACTGATAAATGCTATAAAGAAAATAAAATACGATGATGTGATAGAAGACAAGGATAGAGAGGAAGCAGTGTTTGGGTATTACTTTAGCCAGGATGGTAAGGAAATCCTCTCTAAGAAGTGACATTTTAGGGAGTTCCGGCAAGATGGCGAACTAGGCACAAGGAATGCACAGACGCTCTTCAACAAAGAAAAGGGAAACCAATTAACACAGACACAGAAGATAATCTTGGACCCCTGAGCCTTGAAGGGAAGGATACAAAAGTGGATTAAACCCCAACTAGCAGAAGAATTTGAGTGAAAATACCAAAAAAGGAGACAAACGGAGCTGCGGTCTGGCAGCAGACTGAGCGACCCTGACGGCACAGACGACACGCCTTGGAGATTCCCGAGTGGTGGTAGGACCTAAGAATTACCTCAAATATCATCCTACTAGCCAGGGACTGCACGAAAGACTGTGCACAGTGGTTGGGGAACAAACGGAGAAGGTGAAGAGAAAGGTGGGCTGAGTTGTGGACTTTTGCCAGTCCGGAGGTCGCCGCCATTTTGTAGGTTTAAAAAGTGGCTTGACATTTTGGATATTTAAAGAGACAGGAGAGGAGAGACAACTCAGGGACGCCCAAAGTAGCAAGCGGGAAGAGCAGGAGAAAGGGGATTAAAACCAGGAAACCAGAGAGAAGAGCAGTCAGCCAAAGGGATTAGGTGAGGAGAGGCAACTCAGGCTCGCCCAGAGTAGCAGGCCGGATGAGCAGGAGGAAGGCGAAAAAAGCCAGGAACCTGGACAGAAGAGCAGTCAGCCCCAGGCTTACAGGTGAGGAGAGACAACTCAGGGACGCCCCAAGTAGCAAGCGGGAAGATCAGGAGAAAGGGGTTTAAAAGCCAGGAAGCCAGAGAAAAGAGCAGTCAGCCGAAGGGGTTAGGTGAGGAGAGGTAAGTCAGGCCCGCCCGAAGTAGCAACCTGGACAAGCAGGAGAAAGGGGATTAAAAGCCAGGAAGCCAGAAAGAAGAGCAGTCAACCAAAGGGATTAGGTGAGGAGAGGCAACTCAGGCCCGCCCAGAGTAGCAGGCCGGAAGAGCAGGAGGAAGGGGATAAAAAGCCAGGAACCCGCACAGAGGAGCAGTCAGCCCCAGGGACAACTCAGGGACGTACAAAACAGCAGGGCAGAAGAGCAGGAGGAAGGGGTTAAAGCCAGGAAGCCAGAAAGAGGTACAGTCAGCCACAGGGACCCAGTTGGGGGTGATACGAGAGGTCTGCAACAGCAAGAAAACTTGTCTGTCGGTTTGTCCTACTGCGGTGACATGTAGACTTGAGTTTTGAGGCTGAGCCTCTGGTGTTTAAAACCCAGCGAGATGCACCTGGTGCACAGGTAACAGCGCAGCTTGTAGACTGAGACAGACTAGGAAGAAGGAAGAGGCC